TTTTGGAAAGAATGCACGACAAGCTAGGGAACACGGAAGAACAGGAATGGAATATACAGTTTTCAGCTGCCATGTGGCTATTTTGCCAGGATATGCATTTTATATTATTTTTGTTAATTTTATAATGTTACACTTTAATAATAACAAATAATTGTTGAGAACTGATTATTGAGAACTGCTTATCAAAGTTTGCATTGTTGTCAGGCCCCACCCCCCCCAATGGTGTCCCACTTTACCAATGTTAAAATCTGGTTAAAATCTGTTAAAACCTTAGAATACAACTACATTTTATCTAAACAAAAGAGGTTAAAAGCACAGATGAAAATCCTGTTATTATGTATAAAACAAACATCAGAAGACCCTAAAAGGAGGAGAAAAGACAGCAAACCGACAAGGGACCTCAGGACTTGAGGATGACACTGTCTAGATTCCTGGCTTTTCTTTTTGGCTCACATATCCCAGACAGGGTGCTGGAGAAGCCAGCAACTCAAACAAGGACAGGAACAGACTACAAACACCCCCATGAAAAGCTTGCTCCCTTTTAGCTGCAGAACAAGGAAAGGCACAGCATAGCAAAACAGACAATGACCAAAACCCTTGGACAATAACCACTCTGCCCCAGCCAAGCAGCACAGGAAAAACTAGAGCCCCGCCTCTTCCTCCATTAGCAGAGCCAAGGGGGAGCCAGACCTCCACCCTCTCCCAGCTGTGCCTGATCACTGCTCGCCCCATCCCCCCATCAGAGAATTATCAAAGAAGGGAGCCAGGACCCCGCTCCTCACCAGTGGAATGTACCCCCTCTCCATGGCATCAGTGGAGGCTATACAAGGATCCCAGACTTCCACCCCCATGCAGAGCTAACAAGTCAGCCTCCTCCTCTTCCATGAAGGGCTTAGGAGGCCAGAACCTTCCCCACCACACAGTGGCAAACACTCCCCGCCCCAGTGTCAGTGGAGGCCACATGGGGAGCAGCAGCTGGGCATCCCTCCCCTTCTCAGCCAGAGTGGTGCCAGTGGTTCCACCCACAAGGAGGCTGAAATCTACCCCCACCCAGCAGTAACGGGAGCCCCTTCTAGGGGGACTTCAAGGATCCAAGAGAGGAAACCTGGACTTTCACCCCCACCCACAGTAAAAAGGCAGTGCACCCCTTTCCCCTCCAGGGTGTCAGAAGAAGCCTGATAAACAGAAAATATAAGTAAGACCCAAGTCTCATAGCATAATACCCCCAGAGTGTCCAGGATAAATTTTAAAAATCACTCATCAGAAAAATCTCAGATTAAATGAGAAAAGAGTCCACAGATACCAACACCAAGATAAGACCGATGTTGGGGATTATCTGACAAAGATTTTAAAGCAGGTATCACTAAAAAAAAAAACGTTTTAACAAACAATTATAAAAACATGCTTAAAAATGAAAAAAAAATAGCACACAGAAGAGGTAAAGAAAAACCAAATGTAAATTTTAGAATGAAAATATATAAAAACCAAAAAAAATTATCAACAGATGAAATTAATAGCAGAAGGGAAAGGACTGAGGCAAGAATCAGTGAATAATAGAAGAGAACAATAGAAATTATTCATTCTGAAAATTTGAAATAAACTTAAAAAAATGAACATACTCAAGAAACTGAGGGGCTACAACAAAGAAATCAAACATTCATGTTGTTCTAGTCCCAAAAGAGATGGGAAAGAGGGTGGGGCTAAAAAAAAAAAGTATTCAAAGATGTAATAGCTAAAAATTCCTCAAATTCGGTAAAAAGACATAACCTAAAGAATCAAGGAGCTGAGCGAATTCTAAATAGTATAAGCTTAAATCCACTAAAAACTAAAAGTAAAGGAAAAAACTCTTGAAATCAGCAAGAGAGAGATAATTAAATGACAAATCAACAGAAAGGATTTTAAAAACACTACCTAATTATATGCAAGGGCATTATGTAGTGAAAAAAGTCATTCTCAAGAGGTTACATACTGTGTAATTTCATTTATACAGCCTTCTCAAAAATGACAAAATTACAGAGATGGAAAACAGATTAGTGTCAGCCAGCGGTTAGGAATGGCGGCGGGAAGAGGAAGTGATTATGAAGGGATAGCACAAGGGAGGTATTTGTGGTAATGGAATAGTTCTATCTCCTGATTGTAGTGGTAGTTATATGGATCTACACACGTGACAGTGGCATGGAACTATACACACACACGCGCACACACACATCATACCAATGTCAGTCTGCTGGCTTTGATATTGCACTCTAATTATATAAGATGTAACCACTGGAACAACCAGATAAAGGATACCCAGGGGCTCTCTGTACTATCTTTGCAAGTTCCTGAGACTATAATTATTTCCAAATAAAAACTTCTTAAATTTTCATCCAAATGCACACACATAAACATGCACACCCATACACAGAACAAAATTACCTATAGAAATGGATCACCAGATTACACTTGGCTTTAGGACTTTTTCCACTTTCTTATAGGAATCTGCTTTTTTATAGGGATGTCTGGGTTGATTAAAGTTTACCACAAAATAATGACACCATACTCCGCAGATTCTACCCAGAAGGAGCTAGACATTTTTCATTTTCCACAACCTGCTTTTTGGAGATGCGGTTTATATCTTTAGCTCCACTTTTTTCAAACTTTCTTGCTTTCCCAAATAGAGCCTCAGTTTGTTGTTGTTGTTGTTGTTATTGTTCTTTTTGGGTTTTGTTTGGTTTTTTTGCAGTTTTTGGCCGGGGCCAGGTTTGAACCCACCACCTCCGGTATATGGGGCCAGCATCCTACTCCTTTAAGCCACAGGCACCACCCAAAGCCTGTTTTCTCATCTGTGAAATGGAGCTCAGAATGCACATCTCCGTATTATTGTATTGGATGCTCCTTCCTAGCACTAAATCTAAATTGGGGAAGAGTCTCTTTAGCTTTGCCTCTCTCAGCAATGGTACTTTGTGAAGAAAGAATAGCAACAGCCAAGTCCAGAATGCCAGAAGTTAATGCACATGGTGCTGGAGAAAAATTATAAATTTTCCATAAATGAACAGCAATGCTGCAGATGTACAAATATGATCAGTTCTCTTGTTGCATAAAATGATGCAACATCAAATGGCAAAACCAGAATTTATGGAGTGGCAAAATGTTGCATGCTTTGAGGGACCCATGTATTGCCAATATTTAAAAAGTACCTAGAACTAACAGAAAGCTGATACCTATGAACTATCCCTATTAGAGAGTTCCTGGAACGGTGTAGGAATAGTTCATAGGTGTTAGCTTTCAGCTATTTCTAGGCACTGTCTAAATACTGGGCCTTTCAGTAATACGGCAACAATAGTAAACCAAGGCATTAGCAATGAAAACTGAAAGGAAAGGGAATATAAGATTTCTCTGATGATAATGGACATCAGGACTGAGGATGAGGAAGAAAAAAAATTAAAATAGCACACAGATTTCTAGCTCAGGGAAAAGTAGGTTCCCTTCGTGGAGGTAAGGAAAGCAAGGGGATGATTTGGAGGTGAATATAAGCCTGTTTGGGGATTATGTCCAACTTCATGAGTCTGTGGATATACAGATAAGGAGTTAGAAGAGAGGCGTGTGGTAGACAGGTCGGCTTGAGGGCCACTGGCATGCCAGGTGAAGCTGTAAACCTAGGTGAGTCCTCCCAGAAAGAATCCAGAGTGAGAAGAGCAGATGGCGAGAACAGGGCCCTGAGGAAGCTGAAACACACCACAGAGAGAAGAGCTGCTGGAAAGTTGGTTCAAAAGGAGCAGCCAGGAAGGAAGGAAACAGTTGGGAGAGAATGATGCCAGAGAAGCCAAAGGAAGAAAGAGGGACCTGATCAGGTAACCAACGTCACAGAGAGCTTCTGTGAGATGGGGCACAAAGCATCCTCTGGACTTGACCTTTGGAAGTCACTGGTGGTGGGGCAGCAGGCCATTGGCAGCAAGTTGAGTAGTGAGGGGAAGTGACGTCACTGAGTGTAGAGGGTGCTCTCTAGAGGGGTAGTTCTCAAAGTGGGTCTGTAACCACCTGCATAACCTGAGAACTTGTCAGAAATGCACATTCTTCAACCCTACCCCAAACCTACCAGATCAGAAACTCTGTGTTTTAACAAGTGCTATAGGTGATTTTTGAATACACCAAAAGTTGAGATGCACAGATCTAGAAATGTTCATACCCAGAGAGAATGACAAGCAGATGTCCCAAGCGTAAGAAAAATAGTCAGAGGGTTTTGTGTTCCAAAATGGGAGACATCCTTATTTATTTATTTATTTATTTATTTTGGCTAGAAATTACTCTTTATTGATTAAATCATCAGGAATTTTCAGCACAAGATTTAACATCTAAAGACCACCAAGGCCTAGGCTCTGGGATTTGATCTGCCTCTCCCAGTCCTGAATGGGGTTTAGAGGAAGAGACGTCATTAACAGAGACCTCTCCAGATGGTGATAAGTTTTTCCCTTCCCAGTCACTGAACAAGCTGCTCAATTCTTATCCAGAGCAGGAAAGAGCTAGTACTTCAGAAAAATCTAATAAAGGTTTGCACATTGTACTATAAGATCGCTCTTAATAATTTAGATTTCTCAGTAGTATTGATTGGTCCAAACTCATTTGCTTCTGATCTAATTTTTTTTCATTCTGCAGTTTGCTTTTTTTTTTTTTTTTTTTTTTTTGGTGTGTCAGTAGTTTTAATAAATAATCTCATTTCTCTGTGCAGAAGTGAATCAACCCAGTGGAGGGAGGGACCCCATCAAACCAGAATAGCCTCATCTTACTTTGAAAAAAGGAACCAGGGTTTTCTGCTCCTCTTCTACCAACAGATGAACAAATGTCCCCCACCCCAAAGTTCGAAATGTTACTTCTGGCTTTGGAAGGCACATAGAGGCAGCTTTTGATGGGCTGATTTAAATCACCTATAAAGGGCAATTGGAACCACAATGCAGGCTGTCTTCTTTGAAAATTTCTTCAAATCAACTCTCAAGGATTGTCCAGGATTGTGTGCAAAGGCTCTAAGGTCCAAACAGCTTCTGCCATTTCATCTCATGAGCTGGGTTCTGAAGCACTGAGGTAAGGACAGAGGCAGTTGCTCCTCGAGGTAGGACCTCAATAACTCGAGGCTTGTCGATGATCCGGGCCGTCCGATTTCCCTTTTCTACAATGCCAACTATCCATGCTTGCTGACCCCCTCCATACTTAGAAGATTTGATTTCAGAACAAAAGTGAACCGCCTGTTCTCTGGGCAGACAAATCAGTAATCCCCCAGAGGTTTCAGCTGAGGTTCCTTGAAGGAGCCCAAACTGCCCAGTGGCCTTGCTGATGGCAGCCATCTTGGCAATGATGGGCAGATTATGAATGACAAAGGACACGTCATTTCTTTGCTGTTTCACTAGGTTCTGAGAGTGTCCAAGAATGCCATAGCCCGTGATATCAGTGGCCGCATGGGCGTTGAACGTGTGCATTAAGCTGGCCGCAGTTCTGTTGAGGGTAGCCATGTTGAACATGGCTTCCTGATAGGCCAGCTCCACCTCTTCCCGGGATACCACCGTGTTCACCCTGCTCCACTTTTCAGGATTGTCCAGCCACTGGTGGGCATTGACAGCCACCTGAGTTCCTAAGGGTTTGGTTAACACCAGCACGTCCCCAACAACCGCACTGTCAGGCATTATGAATTCATTCGGCTGACACACCACGGTGGCGACTCCTCCGATGATAATCCAAGGGTTGACCACTGTCTGCCCGCCTGTCACTGTGGTCCCTCCCTCCTCAGCTGCGTCCCGAAAGCCTTGGATCATGAGGGGCGTGATCTTCTCCCGTTCCTCCTCACTCATACGCTGGCTGACGCTGAGCAACATCAGCATGTTGTCACATTCCGTGAGGCCCATGGCGTAGAGGTCGCTCAGCACGTTGGCACAAGCTATGCGCCCCATCATGTAGGGATCTTCCACCAAGGGATAGAAGAAGTCGGTGGTCTGCACCAGCGACAGGCCCCCATGCTTCAGGGGGACCACGCAAGAGTCCAGCCCGATGCCCAGGGCTGGGCAGGTGGGGCCCGCGGCTTCCCGGGCCCCTTCTTCGCGGCGCCCGCCCACCCGGGGCCGCCCGAGTCCCGCCAGGAGCTTGAGCAGCGCCTCCCGCGGGACCTTGCAGCCTCAGCCCTTCATGCCGGAGAAGCTGGTCAGCCGCCAGCTGGAGCTGAGACCCCACTCCCGGGGCTCGAAGGGCTGGTAGTTCGAAAAAGGCCGACTGGGGGGCAAGGCCAGTGGGCCCCAGAATCCCGCCCCGGCCATGGCTGCGGTCGCCTCCTGGGTGGCACCTGTCGGTCGCCGGAAGCTTCTGTGATGCGCCCTGGGCAGGCCTGAGGAGAGGAGAGGAGAGCAGAGGACGCTTTGAGATTCCACCCGAGGGGAAGGGAGGAGAGGACACTTTGAGTTTCCACTCGAGCTAATGCACTAGGTCCACGGATACCCACAGAGATTTCCCCAGCAAGACCCCCAATCCCTCAACAGGCCCTTCTCCTCCCCCCCCCATCTCCACCCCCATCTCCTCCCCACCCTTCCTCCAAAATTGCAGAGATTTTGAACACACCTGCCAGCTCTGAAGAAAAGAACCCGTATTTTAAAAGAGCCTGGATCTATATAGAAAAGAGCTGGAAAGTGTTGGAGCCAGCTCTTGGGAGAACCAGAAATTAGTAGTGAGTGTTTTTAAATAAGAAGTCGGAGGAGCCGCCTGAGAATTATGGCTCCCGCCTCCACGCCCACCTGCTCATTAAGCCACGCAGATAAGATATTTTTGTTCTGACAAGTCTGCTTCTAATACTTCAACCCACTGCCTCCTCCAGGAATCTCTCTATTTTCATTGCTGTTAGGATTTGCTGCTGTCTTCAGACTTTTAGAAGCATTTGGTGTCATTTGCCCTCTGAAGTCTAGGCAGGCCCTGTGCATGTTCCAGGTTCACCTAGACCAGGTCTCAGGGCTATTTGCAGCGGACACCATAGGGGATTCAGGTACCCTGGATAAAGTACTTTTTTCCAGCTTGAGGCCAAGTGAGCTAAAATGCAGGACCCAGAGAGGCCAGGAAGAGCAGTATTCTAGGCCAAGGGCTAATGAGAAGGGGACATGTGAGGCTTTTTCCAGACAAGGTAGGTAGGAGACACTTACCCAGTGGCTTTAGCAACAACAATATTCTACCTTCTAGGGTGATTCAAAATGTCAAATACAGACAAGATTTTAATTGGGAGAAAAAGAGAAGGCTTGTCTGGTAGGGGAAAAAAAAAAAAAAGAAGGCCGCTGGTTATGACCGCCACCACTGGCAATGTTTATTTTGTTTTTCCTCTGGTGGAGCTGGTCTGCAAAGATCTGGCGCTCCCAGGCCAGAGACAGTTGCAAAACAAGTGTCTGTACAGGAGAGCTACAAGGAGACTCAAAGATTTCTAACTTTCGTTAACCCCAATTTTGATTTTCTTTTTCTTAAAAACATGGTGCTAAATCTTTGTGGTCAAGCCCTGGGTTGACAGCCTTTAATAAAGAAGTCCAGACTCTGGGAAACCAAAAATAAACAGAAGTATGAACCCAATCACATTCTTCTTTGAAAGTTGCTTTTGAAAGCCCAAGGGAGTGCCATTCACATCACAGGAAAAGTAGGCAACGAATTTCCTTTCTAGGGGCTTTTAGAATGTCACCCAGACTTGACCATGGAAAGAAAATGAAGACCGTATCATGGCCTTAACCCAGATCTTTAAAGTCCTCTCTGATGGTCACTTCTGTTTACTACAAGCTTCAATGACATGGAGCATTGCAGCAAGAGTTCCCGTTCCCAGCACCAATCCACACACTGTCTAGTTCCAAGGGTACTGAGTTTCTTCTTTCATATCCCACTTCGGGGAAAGGAAAGGCAAGCTTGGGGACTAGACATGCTTGAAAAAATAACAAATATATGAGCATACGTCCCTGTGTGTGTCCATAGCCTACTAAAATATTTCATCCTTACCTCTTCTCTTTATCCTTCTGACTTGGGAGGAAAAGGCCTGGGCACCTTGTCAGAAATCAGCTTGTCTCAGGCAGCAGATGATTTCATACAGGAGGCCTCCTTTCACCACCAGTGTTCATGAAGCTCTACCACTGCTGGGTTTATTCTCTAGAAGTAGACCCACCAGATATTAAAATGTTATAATATAAATGTAATGAGTCGTGACTAACACTTTGGATACAGATACAATAGGATAGAATGGTCAGGAGGGGATGGGATAGAATAACCTGGGTCGGAGCGGAGATGAATTGAATAGGATAGGACAGATAGGAAAGGATGGAATAGAATAGAAAATGCCAGAGCAGGGCGGCGCCTGTGGCTCAGTGGGTGGGACGTCGGCCCCATATACCAAGGGTGGCAGGTTTGAACCCAGCCCCGGCCCAACTGCAGCAAGAAATAGCTGGGCGTTGTGGCCGGTGCCTCTGGTCCCAGCTGCTCAGGAGGCTGGGGCAAGAGATTTGCCTAAGCTCAGAATTTGGAGAATGCTGTGAGCTGTGGCATTACAGCTCTCTATCAAGGGCAATAAAGTGAAACTCTGTCTCTTAAAAAAAAAGAAAAAGAAAAAGAAAAAAGAAAATGCCAGAGCAAACTATAGGTAATAAAGGGGGAAAATTCATCTGTGAAACTTTAAGTTTGGTGTCCAAGTGTGTGTGCACAGACACACATGTGTTCTAAGTCACAATGTAAAGTGGATCCCTTGTACTCAGAAGGTTTGATTAAAATTTGACAGAAGGAATGAGACTTCAGCTAGTCCCCAGTGATTGTCAGTTTTTCACACATGAACCGACAACTGCTCATGTTGGCTTACCATGTCGGCAAAACATTTACTGAACGGTGTCCAAGAAGGCAAGGGTGAGCCCATCCTTGCTGACCAGGGGGGTCTCTAGCCCTATGAACCTCTACAGTTGGCCTCACCGGACACTGGGGAGCCAAATGTTCTGGGGCTGAAGGGAGGTGAACACAAGAAGGCTGTGGGACTTATTTTCAAGGTTTCCTGGAAACGATGTGTCCACGCCTGCCCAGTCACTCAGCTCACACGTCACTCAGCCCACATAGACCAACACCCAGACACTCAGCCTTCAGCCTCTTGACCACCCATGGACAAACTAATGAGCCCCACAGTTTGCATTTTCAATTTCATTGCTGTTTTAAGAAAACACTTAAGTATTACTTTCCAAAAAAATGGTTGCAAGAGGTTCAAACACTCCCATTTGTGTTTTCATCCTTAATCAAGATGAAAAGAACTAGTTTAAAATTTTTCCTTTCCATGCAGCAGGTTCCAACCCCTGAGTTTTACCACCACCAGCTGAAAGGGTACTGTCGTCAGCCAGCATGATGCCCTTGCCACTCCAGGTGGCTGTCCTTACTGGTCCTGCTCCTGTCAGCTTGCTAGATGTGCACTGTCAATTCCTGGCCTCACTCCCCATTTGCACAAAATACGGACAATGTGCCTCTTATTCAGGCAATAACATTGCAAAGTTGCTTTTTTTTCTTCTTAGAACTCTCTCAAGATAATTTTATCATGACGACAAAGATCAAAATACTTAAGCTTTTCTTTTCCTCTTCACGTACAATGATAGAACTTAGATACCTTAAAAATAATCCAAGAATTTTACAAGGAATAAGTGTCATGTTCATGGAACATCACAGCATCTTAGTAGGTACTTAATATGTTCATAACCATAGATCATGAGTCTTTTAAAGCTACATTTGTCAAAATGCAGTTTACACACTGAAAGAGAGGATCAAAATAGCTTAGGGTGGAGGAAGAATTGCTACAATCCCATTCTATACAGTACATGTAACAAAAACATTGGATAATTTTTCCCCTTTACATTGCACTTTTGCTGGGTTGGTATTTAGTGGTCAAACAATAGAATCTAAGCCTAAATTCCAATTTATTTCCTTTCTTATTGAATGTGTATTACATTCATTCTCGTTGCATTCATTTTGTACATTCCAACATACTATACACTTAAAATTATGAAGTTACTCCACAAACTAAGGAAGTTATATTGAGTCACATTTAAGATTATTCTAGCTATAAACAATATGAAGCAACAATAAAAACTTCTATAAAATAAATGTTGGCTGGCCAAGTGAACATTTTACAGTGTTATGGTCATGTTCTTTTTTCACATTCTCTTTGTTCTAAAGGGAAACATACTTTTTTTTTTTTTGAGACAGAGCCTCAAACTGTCCCCCTGGGTAGACTGCTGTGCCATCACAGCTCACAGCAACCTCCAACTCCTAGGTTCAAGCGAGTCTCCTACCTCAGCCTCCCAAGTAGCTGGGATCACAGGCGCCTGCCACAACGCCTGGTTATTTTTTGGTTGCAGCCATCATTGTTGTTTGGCGGCCCGGGCTGGATTCAAACCCGCCACCTTAGGTGTATGTGGCTGGCACCTTAGCCACTGGAGCCACAGGCACTGAGCCAGAAACATACTTTTAAGTAAGGAATCCATACTGAGAGAAATTTTATTCTTTTTGATTCTTTTAAGTTAAGCCTTCTTCAGAACTCACAGATTCCAGATTCTCAAAAGCCGTTCCCTACACACTACTTTCCAGAAGCAAAGGCAAAGAGAGAAAGAGATGGCTCGTGAAGAGCATGGACAGTCCTTCCGTGCAGCTTTCAAGGAAAATAAGGGAGGTCTGTCCTACAGTCTGTATCCCGAGCGCGTGCCCCTATCAGAAAGCATTAGGAACTGTGAGAACAAGGACAGGGACGGGCTGGGACTGCACTGAGGAGTCAGAGCCGTCCGAGCAGACCAGGCCTCCAAGACTGATGCTGCTTGTAGACACTGAACAGCACTTCCAGATGATTCCATTCACACCAGAGGGGAGTTTGCATGACCAGTGGTGGTGGTTAGTCTTATGTGTCAACATGGCAAGGTGACAGCACCCAGTCATTTGCTCAAACACTAGTCTAAGTGTTGCTGTAAAAGTATTTTGTGGATGTGGTCAACATCTGTAGTCTGTTGACTTTAAAGAAAGGAGATGATCCAACCTGTTAAAGGCCTTGAGAGCAAAACTGAGGTTTCCCAGTGGAAAGAGAAATTCCACCTGTAGACTACAGTATCAGCTCTGGCCTCACAGATTCCACACTGCTCTTCCCGTGGCCTACTCCAGGAAGTTCAGACATGCTGAGCCCCATGGTAGCTGGCAGTTTTTCTGGCAGACCCAGCTGATACACCAGCATACTGGTCATGGCTGATACCACTCTAAATTTAAAAAAAGGGCCTCATTATACCCTAAACTTGCC